TCTAAAATCGCCGCACGGCTCCACTCGTCTCCACTCTTTGGCACCATGTGGAGCGGGGCCGCCCACGGACTCTCTGAGCGCCTCGCGATACCTAGGCGCATCAACGTCGCGAATTCTGCCGGGGGCTAAAGATTTATCTCTGTGGCGGCGAATAAAAGAACGAGGGTACTCGCACACATGAGCACCCGTGTCTATTAGAAATCGTACGTTCATGTTCTTGTCCGTCACGAATAAGCGGCGTGAGAGATGTTTGTGGTTGGCGTTAGCCGCTACTGACGACTGTCGTCGTTTCCCTCCTGGAAGCTGATAAAGTCTTCTGGTACAGTTGTTCCAGCCAATTCTCTCAAATGGCGTAAGTATTTTGAAGGCGTGCGGTCGCCCATCTCCTCACGATTGAGTAATTGCCGTGTCTTCTGCTCCTGTGACTTGCATGTCCGTTCGATCAATGTGTTTTTCAAATTTACGTATTTACCCACTTCAGGCGTATGAATATTTATCCAAATCCGCGGTAATTCTAGCGGTTTCGAAGCAGGATTCCATCATGGTAAACCACAATTTTGTGTTCCATGGTATAAAACGCGGGCCATGGAAGGCGGGTTGGTCTCCTTGTTTGTTTTCCATTTCGTTTTAGAATTCGCTCAAGTTTAAATTAGTTATAATTATTGTCTTTTGTTAATTGAAGGTTATCACTTGTATGTTTTTTTAGAAGCCAATTGCGGGTAATTTAGTTTGGAGCTGTTATTTTTCACCAATACTAACGTTCTATTTGATTTGATGGTTTTCAGCCTCAACTTCGCTCGCTAATCTCTTCTGCATCTTACTTGGTCATAATTCCATGTAAATATCAACTGAAGGGCTTAAGCAACCAGGATTTGATCCATATATTAATATATTATTAAATAATACACGAAAAACTCCATAAAGATAATTCTAATAATTATTTTTGTCTTGTTAATTTTGAAGCGATTTTAATGTAATTAATTTATATTTGTCTCCGTGTCTCAATATACCATGGTTCGGGTTCACCGTGTTTTTAATATTGAATTATTTTATAAGCTGAACAATAAAATTGCCTATTATTCGTGCTTTAACATCCCCGAATTACCACGGATAATCGTTGTTTTAAAATACTTCGATTATTGTTATAATATTTATTTTATAAAAAAAAATCAATATATAATATATGTTATTTACATTTCTACGGTATTAAAGTATGGGATTTGACAGCAATCGTAAAAGTAATGTTAGGGTAGAATTGCAGGGACGCATATAAAATGAGCTACCCCTGAGCCTAAACATCTGAATTCCAATTTTCCTTTCCACTCCAAAAAGTTTATTATTTCCTTTTTTATACAATCTGATTACCTGAATCTGATTTATGTGAAAAATCAACTGAATTGTAACTGGCAGAACAATAAATCCTACTTGCATCAACAATGTGAACAGACTCTGAAAGTGTTCCAAAGTATGAGAAATTGGTTGGATAGATTTTTGTTTTTATAGTTGACATGAAATATTATATGATATTTAATGTAGTAATTCGATAAGCGGAGAATAAATAACTGAAAGTAATTCTGAGAAAGTGACATGTTTTTTAAAGTAATTATTTATTTATTGTAATTAACACGAGAGCTATAGAATAAATTAGATTTTAACCTCGGACTAAACGTAGACAACAACAGCATAATTGCGCATCGTTCATAACAACACGTTTGAGACATGTCTGTACTTAATTTAATTTGTAATAAGTATTTGCATATTTTGTTGAAGCATTATAATTTCTGAGATTCATCCCTTTTAATTAAAAGAACTTTATTAATTTTATAATTGCTAGATTACGAACTGATCAAAATAATTAAATATTAAAGAGAAAATATAAAGTAATTAAAGTGAGTAACCAACAAAGATTTAGAGTTTAAATTCTTATATACTTATATTCCCATACTGTTAAACACTTTTTAGAAACCTAATCTATATAAACCCACACTTTGGGAAATACTTCTATAGATTTTTTTTAAATATAATTAAATTATTAATTGAATATTGTTTTTATAACTTAAAGTCGAACTCATTAACAAGCACAAAGGATATAAATTAATCAAACAGTCTATCAGAAACACACTTTTTAAATAACCGCTTTAGATCCAATTTCTTAAGAATTTTTTGAATATTATAAAATTGTGTTACGTGTTTCTCTATGTTTTTGTTAACAAATTTCTGTGGGATATTTCTATAATAGTAAATTATTTTGTTTTAGTGCAAATACTATAATTCACGAATAAAAAGATATCTTAGAAATGAAAAACGTAGAGAAAGTTTTATGTGTGAGCAGCAGTAAAAAATAACCGCAAATAACCAAAAATTACTAGATATTTATAAGATATTTTTTAATCATCGAACATTAATCAGGTGACTATATACTTCATTATGTTAACATAACTTCTAGTAAAGAAGCTTAGATATACAACAAATTCCACAATTGCAAGCATCATTTAACATATTTCAATGTAAATCCAACGTCCGACAATTATCCTACAAAATATAAAATATCAGCCAAGAAATTAATTTATGTATCTCAATCAATAGATGTCAATGAACAGAATGTTATAAATGTATTAAATGCAGAGGATCAATGAAAGATTTAAATATTTAACACTTCTTGTTAAGCGATCATTGTGAAATGCAGAAGATATTTGTATATTATGTGAAATATTATTGTTTAATTATAGTTACAGTAGAAAAATCTCATAAACAATTCAAGAGTTTATTACATTAATATAAAGATTTTGTTGTTGTATAAATAATAATTTATTGCAAATCAATTTTTATTTTGCTCAATTCAAATTTTTAAAAAAGACTACATCAAATCCGGACTAATTGAATCCATATTAGGTAAGGAATAGCTATTACTACTATTATAAAGGTTTAAACACACTTCTTCGAATCTCCACTGTCCTCACTTAGTTAGTGGACTGTACAGTTTCACCAGTCTCCGCTTAAGTGCTCTTAGAAATAATTAAACCAACTTATAATAAACATTTTATGAGAAACATATTTTGTTGATGGCCTATCGCCAATAAATGAATGCATTAATAATGACTACGTTTAAATAAAAATGGAGACGTGAAATTCATAAAATAACTAAATGAATACCACATATTCAGGAAATGTTAATACAATATAATATATCATTAATTTACTCGTTAATTCATCAAGTTAGGCAGGTCACTTGATTAATTACGTATAACGGTTTATTTTAGAAGTTATGTAAGGAGTTGTGCTAATCTCTTTATTTCAGTTTCAAGTTTCCAGCTAATCTATTTGGCCACTTGTAAACCTTTGGCATTATTATAATAGTAGTAATTTCTATGTATATATTTATTACTACAATTAATATCGTTATAGGCGATTACGGTTAGCAAATATTCTTTTTAGAAAACCAATATGATCATATTTATACCAGCACCGCCTGTTGTTCGCTAATAAAAAGAAAGTATGAGTGAGTATAATTTACATATTAATGGTGACCACATTTATTAATCCTCCCAACAAAAATTAAATTAATTTAATATTTAAATTTCTTTCTTAAAAATTTATAAATATTTATTGTCAACTCTATTTTGAGAATTTTACGTATTACATTTTTGCGTTACTATTTTTTTATATAGTTAAGAAGATTTAAATCATATTTAGATCAATTTAACTTGAAATTAGAAAGCAGTCATAATGTGGCGCTGACTTCAGCCCGGATATGATGTCACGTACCAACCCGGTACGGTACGCCCTACTCCAGCCTGTGGCTCTCTCTTGTAACCTGTATCTCGCTCTCTCTCGGTGTACCGTGATCCGAATAAAGAGACTTGTGAACGCCGCCATTGTGGAAGTTAATCTACGATCTTTCCTCTCCAATCCATATAACTGATCTTCTCCAAAATAATATATATTTACATGTGTAATCAATAACTTTAAAATAATTTGATAATTAGGGCGGAAAGACCTCGGTCGTTAGCAATTTGGCCAGTCTATTAGTATATATATTTTTATTGTATGATAAAATTTATTTATGTATAAATTGTACTTTTTTTTCTCTTTTTCTTATGTATCGATGTTTGGCCAATAAATAAATAAATTATTATCATTTTGATAATTATTACCTAAAATTCAAATTCCAAAGGTAACACTGCACATTTTTATTGTAAACCTATAATATGCAAGATAAACTCTATAGTAAGTGGATAGATGCAGTTCCGAGAGCAGCATACGGCTCTACGTTGAGTCAAGTGCGGCTCCCATTAAAATTTTACCATAGATTGTTAGATGTTATTATACTTTAATGATAATTTAATAATTTTAGCAAACCGTTAAAATTATGTAAATCCATATAAAGTAGGTCAATAATAAGTATATTTTTAATTACAGCATTTCAAATGATAAATATCCGCATAAAATAGAATGATGTCAGCCGGACTAATCGACAACTATGCACGGAACATTCATATTTGTCTTCTGTTCAAGTCAAATCTATTTTTGTAACATTTCAATAGAGTATACAACATCATACTTTCATTGCAATTAGATTGGAAATTTTAATCTATTCTAGAGGCAAGCGGAGCATCGGTTTTTATAAAAATGGATTTTTATAATTAATAAACTAATAAAAGTATACAAAAAAATGTCAAAGCATGTATTTATATTAAATCGAAAAATCACCATCACAAATGATAATTTGAATACACGTTCAGTGAACATTTACTATAGTTATGTTATATAAAAGTATAATTCTAACGTTATAAAATTATAATGGATATTTTCAATTCCCATTATTTTAAACATAACGAAAGTTTGAATTACTATTTAAAAATGTATGATAGTTGCATTACAACGGTCCAAACAACCAGACTCATTCCGCAAATTTGCATTCATTCTAACCAAATATAGGTTATAAGGAAAAAATCATTTAACATATTCGCGATTATAAATAGATTAAAACACAGACTTACCCTACTGAAAAGAAGATCTCTACTGATTCGCCTGAATTGATTATTTAAAAGCCAGTACAGGAATGGATTCCAAAAACTGTTACTTAAAGCCAGCCACGTGGCAAGGAAATCTAATCCTGCCGGTGCTCGAGACCCCGTACATGCTGCTACGACTTCTTGTATTGTCCACGGTGTTACCAATACTATAAATCCCAGTGACATAGCTGCCATGGTCCGAGATGCATTCGTACTCAATCTTCTTTCTTGGCTCACCAACTAGAAAATAAAATATAAAATTGTTAAAACATATATATTGAACTTGTGTTTATATGAATCCAAACGGACGTGTTGTAGGAGAAGTCCTCTGCAAGAAGAGTTAACTCAATAATGTCCGTAGTTCCGTAGTTACACCGGAAAGGCAGCAGCTTAACGACTCGCAGCCGACACATTTCCTATTCCATTTCCAATTTCAGTGCGATCAACCAGGGACATTGCCCTGCAATTTTCATCTGCTTCACGTCAATATAAATTTCTTTCGAAAGATAGAACCCAGCAAACCAAATTTCGATGATCTACAATTTATGTATATATTTTTAACGAAAATATCGATGTCCAAACTGTATCTCTTCTAATTTTTTTAAATATCTAACTACTTGTATTAAAAATTTAGTAATACAATGAATTTGCTCCTTATATTCAAATAAAAGTGTTATGCATTTCATAATATTAAAATGTTGTCTATTAATTTTTAACTTTTCACTCAGCAAACCAAAATTCAATGATTTTCAATTTGCAGAGATATATAGAAAAAAAAATATATTTTTATAATTTTTAACGATTATGTACAATTATTACAATTATTTTATCGTGTTTTGAAGAAATCATATGTAAGATAATTTTGTTGATATATTAAAAATTTTAAATATGATTTTATATGATATGAAATAAAATGTATTTCTTTTTAGAATACTTTACAAAAAATATATATTTTTACTGCAGTAAGATAAATTTGTATTTAACTTGTATTACAAATTTTACATACCAAAGGCTTTTCCTCCTTTCATTCAAATGCGCTTGACGCATTAAGAAGTCAAAAGGTATATTTTCATATTCCATTATAGAATGTACAACGTAAGAAGCCACTTGTTTTATTCAAAGAAGTTGCTTTTCTAATTACATTGAAACAATAAGAAATGTTAAACTACATCTAAATTAGTAACTCAATTTGTTCCAAATGAATTGCAACAAATTGGTAGAAATTTCATTTCTTTAATAAATATTATCAAAAAATGTAATTACTCTATCAACTTATCATTACTAAATTTGTTTTTATATCAAATAATGAGTATGAACTTATTTCTATTAGTTTAAACAAATCACTCATAAATGTTTTCTAATTCCTACGTTTAATTTATTGTATATATAAAAAATGAATTAGATTATATTATTTTATTTATTTATTGTAATTAATTATAATTAAAAATTGTTAGTTGTATTTATTAACAATTATATTATATTTTTGTTTAATATATAGTTTGCATTTCTAACGGACTGAGTTAAGCGTCAAATTAACACTATTATACACAGTATTGATGCACGTATTCCATAACAATAATACAAATTTGAAATGCATTCACTATACTAGATACTTGTTAAACAATTATATAAATGGGACAAAGTGCAATTGACTCATAAATCTATTCCATTTTTTAATAATAATATATAATTTTACTACCCAAAATTGCAAGTGCAAATAATAATGCACTGACAATTAATGTAAATAATTCTATATAAATAAAAAAAAACTAGTATAGAAAGACGTACAGTCAGTATAATTAGTTTAGATTTATTCAGTACAGATTCACTTCACTATGGATTGAAATTTTTAAACAAACTATTTTTTATTGATAAATAAAAATAAATTCTAATCAATACAAATTTATTCATTTATATATTTCTGTTTGGTCCAAAGATAATATGAAAGCAACATAGCAAGTTTCTTATAAAGAATATTTTGTGCTAATAATAATAATATGATTACATAGATAATTAATATACCAGGTTTTCTAAACTTCGGAACACTTCGTAAATCCTTGTTTATTTTCTAGCAAAGGTATTACACATAAAGATTAAAATTTAATAAAAATATGAGAAAAACAGTTATTAACACCTATTAACACTGGTGTTATACAATATGATTATCAAGAAATATTAATTCAACTCAATAAAATATATAAATTAAATTGATTATCAAAGATCACTAATCCATATGATACTATTATATTGTATATAAAATGATCTGAAGTAGGCTGTTTTGCATTATTTTTTTCTTAGGTTTATAGGGATTGTTAGGAATATACGTGCTGCGTATCACTCTTATTCCGAACTACCGATAGAGAGCGCTCCAAGGAGAGGCACTGTCAGCAATTCTAGTGCCACGGACTGCTGAACCGTCAACAGGAATCACATTGTCGTTGAAAGTACCGAAAGAATCCAAGCCGATCCAAGCAACAAATGTGGCCCGCATACACATCGATAGCGTGTTATGCAGAACTTATTTTGATAAACATATGATACAAAGTTCCATATTTGAGTAGTTCTATTTAAAATCCTGACCGTAATTCTAACAGAGATATGTAAGTTAATGTGTCTAATCTTATACCTGAAAACTGTCAGCTATCCATATTTGCTTAACATTTATAAGTTTTCAAAGTAGAGAATTTATTATAATACACAATTAATATTTGACATTACAATGCATAGATTTTACCTTTAAAAATTCTTTGAATATCAAAAATAAAGATTCTGTCCATGAAAGCGTTTTACTAAATAAAATAATCTATGATGAATTTCCAAGAAGAACTCATACAAAGCATTATATTTTTACTGTGTGCAGTTTTTCTTCATGGTACACACAGAGAAATGATGAATGTTGAATGTGATCTGTTACTTGGTCCGTTGGTATCGCATAATACACATGACTTGCTTGAGGGTAATGAGGCGAGGCGACGTGAAATATCCTTTTTTTTAGTTTCAGGATTCGCCGTTGCGTTCACGTCTGTTATCCAAAGGGAAAAAAACCCGCTTTGATCTGGAGAAAACGGAGGCTGATTGGATAAGGAACAGAGGGAAGATCCATCGCATCTATAATCCCATACGAATCGCGTTAAATCCTTTTCCTGTTCTCACGCAACAGCGCCTCCATCGAAGCCACCGGCGTTCGGCTTCGTTTGCTCATCACCATCCGCACTAAAAGAAATTATTTGTTTTATTGAATCACTTTTATGGCCATTACCAGAGGAGTACTAAATTTGGAATTCATTCTGCGTTCCTCTATCGCGTCTCAGACACGATTTGTGGAACAGACGCTAGTGTCTGCAGATGTCGTCACTGAAACGACTGAGAGGGTAATTTGCCGGGAAATTTTATCTTCGGCAATCTCTGGAATACTACTCTGTACAAATCCGAATTCGCTGCGAATGAGAATCCATGTAATTTGTCATTTACTGCAAGACGCGGTACATTCAAAGAAACCGTAATAGGTCATGTAAGTAGTCCATTGATGAAAGATTAACTGACTCAGGAATTTATGTGTTAGAAGAATCTCATTTCCGATAAAGATAACAAAATATCTTCCACTTTTTAATTATTTTTTTAATACAACCGCACTATCATCAATTAACACACGTTCAATAATACGTACAATATTATTTACCACCTTCTTACGGAGTAACGCGATTAAGAAACCGAGGATTTTTTTCTTATATAGATTACTGTAAAATGTTATTCGTTTAAATTAATATGTAATGTAATTAGTCAAGTGATGAAGAATTAAAACTTATAAAACATATTTATAGTTTATTATTTCCGAAAAAAATCACTTAATTTTCAATTAAACATGTTTTTTGTATGTAGTCACTTTGCATTACCTACGTGCTCAATATGTACGCAAACCGAACATTTATCATATTAATGATGATACATTTTCATAACTAATATTTAATAATATGCATAAATTCCTGTTAATTTCACGGGATTTCTAATTAAATTAGGTGGTATGAGTAGCTTATATTGTTTTATTGATTAAATGTTTGATATTGGCAAGATGTGAAATAGAAATGTAACAGTTACATCCGTTTCTTCGTATTTACTTAGAATATCTAAACTTGGGTGGGTTCTGGCGTATAAGTTATGCAAAGGACCCTTCATCGTGATTTACGATCAACGAGAAAAACGCTGTCAAGTATGATGGAATCCGAGGAGTGAGACGAAGACATCTATTTTATCATAAATACCTATGGATCACAGTAATTTATTATTTCTAAAGCATACATATTCTATTTCTTTTCATATAATTAGATTAAATTAAAATAATATACAGAAAATTAAATCATAAATTAATTGACTACATATTAAAATTTACCAATTCTAAAAAAATCTAATAAAATATTTATGAAGAGGGAAATTCTAAGATTAATATGCTATATAATTCTATAGTATTTTGTATATTTATTGCATTTTGTTGCAATAAATATTGTTGTTTTAATTTATTTTCTTAAATAATGTGTACATATTATTAGAAAACTCAAAAAACTGAAGTTAGTGTGTATTCAAGTAATTTTAAGTAAGTATTATTAGTTGAAAGCTATATAATAATAATCAGAGCAGAAAGACCTATTGTTCTTTGAAGCAGTTGACTTATTTTGCATTATGATATTTATATTATTGTATTGAGTTTTTGTATTTTGTAATTTTCTGTTTCAATAAATATTATTACCATTTTAATAATAATCAATTTTCTTTAATCCTATTTTTACATAACAAATGTTCTTTCTAAATAAATTAAAAAAGTAGTAATTCTTGAAATAGTGTTAATATTAACAAAATCGAAGGAGTAGAGGAGAAAAAGATAATATCATTTTGAATTAAATATATTTGAGTAATATAAATTTACACAGAAAAAATATTATATTATTATGTTCGTGCCTTTTCAAATTAGTTCCTTTGAAACATTCCTTTGTAAGGCGGTAATTCATAAAGCAATTCATAAATGCATATGCATAGATGGTGTACATAAAATATGCATATGAGGTTTAATGAAAACAGAAATATTAGAATAATTGTTACTTCTAAGTAAAATTTATATAATTTATATTTATTAAAGTGATAGTGTAAAGTGAATATAACTATCTGTATATTACCTAATAGTAATAATATATAAATACAAATATTGTGGCATAATATGGTAAATTCATCACTTTACAGTTTATAATAAAAAAACTGTTTTAACATTTATTTACTAATTATTTCGTTGCTTTAATAATTAATAAATTTAAAATATTTATTGAATATGCATATTAAAGAATAAATTTCATGGAACGGAGAATTAAAAAAAATGCATTGTGTATTTGATATTATTGCTTAATTAGAAAGTAGAGACATTGATTTATGTGATACAAAACATCTGGCAAATGACCTGTCTTGGCACCACATGCTCACTCTTTTGATGAAATTTCCCATAACATGTTGACATAATTCCTCTGAAATTTCGGTGTGT